CCCCCAAAACCCCAAAACCCCAAAACCCCATGTTTTAAGCCTGGATTTGAATTTTCTAATAAAATAACTGATAAATATGAAATCTCGACTAAAGAAGCCTAATAAACGTAGCCAAGGATGTCTAAAACCCAAAGTTCGGTCTTCTGGGTCAGTTCCTTTGCTCTAAAAGCTTCGCCTCCAACTATGAATAATTACAGGAACCGTCCAAGGAGGTAAGTTTTCAAATTTTGAGACTTCTACAAAAATTAATGGTTTCTTCTTTGTGAGGCCAGGTTTAAAAAGAGAATATTGAGGAATATAAGCCAACAACGGTTGCTTTATAAGGCCCCAAACTTAGAACAAAGAGTGATAGTCTGCTTTTAAGATTCAGGGATACAGCCCTTTGTGTCTTCCACACATTCTTGAGCCATAATCCTCTAACTATTAAGACAATAATTTTTAATAACCTCCTCTAATCTTGGAGTAGGTACTTTGTTTGGTATATTATGTAACTAAAACGATAGAATCAGAGATTAGGACAACGAGATACTTCATTGCTGCTTCTTAAAAAGGATAGTATTTAATAAAATTTTATGAGAATTCATTCTGTAAAAGCTTCAATTTAGTTAGATAAGTGCAGCGTTTAATGCCAACTTTAGATCATATAACTGTGTTCGAGTTATATCTATGAAGAATAAGGGTATTATGAAGGGGAATTTGTAAAAACATGTATTTCATAAATGTCTATGAAATCCTATCACTCAGAAAATGCAGCTACTGCCTCTGTAGTTTACTTACTCTACATTCAATTTTAATAGGGAATAAGCTTTGAATAGTTTCATTAGGCAGCCTAAATTCCTTACTTTAACAAGTGTTTAAATTATTCGCCAGTTAATTATTTTTAGGCAGATAAATCTTACAAAGAACAAGAATCTGAAATCCTTAAGAAGATTCTGTGATGGCACTCTGAAGGAATCTCATGACGAGCATACTCAGGATTGAGCAGGACATGGTAAACTTCAAAATGCCACCGACTGTAACTTCAAGGAAATATATTCCAAAGTTGAGATGGCAAGTAGCCTTCTTCGAAGCAAAAGTGCAGATCGGCAACAATCAGCCATCTCAAGGTATGAAAGACAGAGAAGGAAATATCGAAGTGGGTAAGTACTCATTAACTGCTTTAAAAATCTAAATAAGCATACAAATATCTAAATAAAACAACACTTATACTCCTGATTCTCCTATCTGACTTACTTTAGACTAAATCCAAGCAGCAAGTCTTCAACTGGATGGAAGCTATCAGAAAGTCAGAGTCTCAGTAGAAGGAACTGATCCAATCTTATTCGCTCTAAATCTCCAAAGGTTTGTCCTCAGTTCTGACCTTCTTTAGCTCAAAGTCTCAAACAGTCTCATTAAGAATATGAAGCCATCCTCATCTATCCCTTCTAACTCCTGTTCGACAAGTAGGAAGATTGGTCCAAAGTTTGTTCAGCCTTCAGCAGAGTTGAGGTCAAAGAAGGTAATCCACAATGGATCCAAGAACTCCTTCTTAGGCAGCAGAGGTAAAAAGAGGGATGTCTCAAATGAAATGTTTCAACAATACCTAATTCCAAAGCAAATATCTCCACATAACCAGGTAATTGCCTACAGTCATTCCTATAGAGACTAAGCCCTAAGAACTTGAGTACTGATAGAGAGAAGATCTTCCAAGAATTAGGAAAATGAAAGTCAAAGCATAAGAAGCTCAAAGGCAGATTCAAACGAGTAAGTATTTGAAGCTAAATATAGGTCATTGAGGACAATAAGAACCTAAGGGTCCTTAACAAAGGGCTGAATAAAGTGGTCGATGAAATAATTGCCTACCTTACTAGAGTCCTTCGGTCAGAACAAGACAACCAAGTCGCTAATAAGATCATAAATATTTTTAATAACCATCACGAAGAGATTACGAAGAAGTCTATTAAAGCTAGAGGTGACTCTATACTCAGAGAAGAAGTGTCTACTTCTTTTTCAGTCTCAGTCATGGAAAAGGAGAGTCATAACTCTTCGAAGATACTGTCTGATCCTAAAATTGCTACAAAGCCTCTTGATAGACTACTTCCAAACGAACTTGGACAGAGAAAGATTGTGCCTAAGAAAGAGGTAAAGCTATTTTAAACGGTCATAATAATTCCTAATCGTGTAAAATAGCTGAAGATATTCCATCCGAAAATTTTGTGGCAAAGAGAAGCCGTAAATTCCAGTAGAGTTATCGATTCTTTCCAGAGTCCGATAATAGACACTAAGAACTTCCACTCAACTCTGGAAGGGTTTAGAGAGAACCTAGAGAAAGTAGACATGATCTTAAAGGGATGTAGTAAAGACTCTCAGGCTAAATTCTCAAGCCTCCGTGAAGTCTCATGCAATATTGAAGCCCAACCCAGAAGGTTAAGCGAGAAGTACTCCTCTAAGAAACCTAAGCTCTGAGGGCTGATGTCAAAGATGAAATCAGGCCATTCGAGGAATGTTGAGAATGTCGTGTCAAGCAGATCTGAGAAAATTAAAGAAAACTAAAGAGGGGTTTAAAGTTGAAAAGATTGGTAATGGTCTAGTTAAACCAAAAAATCATGAAAAACAACTATCAATAATTCTTCCAAAGTGTGGGGTTTTGGGGTTTTGGGGTTTTGGGGTTTTGGGGTTTTGGGGTTTTGGGGTTTTGGGG